CCTGGCTCAGGGTAAATGCAGTTAAAAATAACAATGATGATAATTATAATGGTATTATTGCTATTATTTTTATTATAGAAACACCTGGGCTTCATGGAGGACTGAAAGTCACTTCACCTTGGGCCTCAGTCTCCTTATCTGTAAACTGGGAATAATAACAGCTGCTCATCATTTATATCCTGAGTATTCAGTAAGGACCATTGCTGGGAAAAGTGATGGGAGCTTCCACAATGAATCAGACTTGTCCCTGCCCTTTGGGGCACCCAGGCATGTGGGGAAGGCCTCTGTGTGCCAGGTACCAGGCAGGGCCTGCCCAGGCACAGGTCAGTATATCCTGGTTCTGCCCCGTGATCTGCAGGTTCCAGGGCACAGAGCCGTGTGTAGAAACGCCCCAAGTCTGCTCTGCATGGACCACACACTCAGATGCGCTCAGGGGCTGGGCAGGAAGCCACATGAGAGAGGGAGGTTGGTTATGGGACTGTGTTGACCCATCTGAGGCCGGCACTTTATAGCGTCAGCTGATGGTGGCCAGTGGGCATGTGTCACCAAAATGTGCTCTTTTTATATTTCTTTTTTTTATTTTATGTTTTTTTTTTTTTTTTGGCCGTGCTGTGCTGCATGCGGGAGCTTTGTTCCCTGACTGGGGATCGAACCCATGCCCCTGCAGTGGAAGCTCGGAGTCTTAACCACTGGACTGCCAGGGAAGTCCCTAAAATGTACTCTTTTTAAAGAAGTCGGAAGTTCTGACTTTTATATGAAATCTCCTGATTTTAAGATGTTGATAGCTAATCTCAAAGAAAAATGCTGTCAAGGAACAAGAATGCTGCATCCTGTTTTAGCTTGAGGGTCCTGGTTTTCAGCTTCCATGCTATAGCTTAGGGATGGGGTGGGAGCCTAAGGAATGGGACATGGGGGCGGGAAATGGGGTGGTGGGTGGAGATGACTTCAGAGAGGTGATGACATTGGAACTAGGGTCTTGAAGGATGAGTAAGTGTCCCAAGCGGTAGGGGGAGGCATTCCAAGCAATGGGAACTTCATTAGCAAAGGCTTAGATGCATGACCAAGATTGGTGACTGGTTGGGCGAGGCTGGAGTTTAGGAAAACGTCTGGTGATGTCAGCAAGGCCCAGGCAGGCCCAGGGCGGGAGGGAGGTGTTGAGGCCTCAGCCCCCCGAGCTGTCCTTGAGGCCTGGGTGGCTGCAGAGGGGTTAGAAACCCCCCAGTTTGCCATCCCTTGAGCCACAGGGGTTCAGGAATTCAGGCGGGCACGGAGGGCCTTGAATGGCTGGTGCCAGGCCTTTGGGGGGTTGCAGGTGGGGCCAGTGCTGGAGGCCCCCGTTGCCAGCTCGCTGGTGGTCAGCACTTTGCCAGGGTATTCGGCCTTCTCTGGGGACGGGGGCTAGTTGGCCCGCTCTCTTTCTCCCTTTACCCTCTCTCGGGCCTGGGCTTTGCATGGCCTTCTCCCTAGCCTGCTGGCCTCTATCTGGCCTCTGCTCATCCATCCAGCTCCCAGGCAAGACACGGCTTCTCAAAATGGGGATTTGGGATTCCAAGGGCTGTTAGAGACTTGAGAGAGAGAGAGCGCGGAACTTGATGGTGCTCTGTGCGCTCAGGTGTTACCCACATTGTGAGTATGTTAAATAGGCAACAGGAGTGCATGAAAACAGCGGCTGACCCTTGCTCAGCACTGTGTGCCAGGCATGGCACCTCCTATGTATCCACTCGTTTAATTTTCACAACTTTGGGAAGTATGTCAAGTTTTCCCATTTTACAGATTAGGAAGCTGGGGGCACTGAGAAGTTAAATAACTTGCCCAAGATTACAAAATTACTGGGTGGTAGGGCTTGGGTTTGAACGAAGCTGCCTGGCTCTAGTCTGCCCCCATAATCCTTAGGCTCTACTAACTAGGGCTTTAGGTCCATGGATGGGGTAGGGGGCACGGGGTTTGGACCCTGAAATTGTTAAAACATTTTCTAGCATATGTGCATATTTTTTATGGAGAAATGTTGTCAGATTCACACAGGGGTCTGTGACCCCGAGATGCCCGAGACTGCTGGTTGTGTCGTCATTAGCACACATGTGGAAAGGCTGTTAATGCAATAGACCGAAGGCCAGAGACGCCCC